CCCGGGGTTCTGTGGAGCGCGGGGCATGACGGGCGTTGTAGTCCCGGCTCCAATGGGGCTCTATCGGGCCGCGGGGCATGACGGGAGTGAGAGGCAAAAAGAAGAAACTGCGCCGACTGTCGGTCCCGCCCCCGAGTCCCTGATGCCCGGAGCTGATTGGCTGAGGGCGGTGATTGGCGGAAGATTTGGGAAATAGGTGATGGCAGAGGCGGGAACATCGCATTCAGCCCCTCCAGTTCCTCTCAGAACAGCCCAGTTCATCCCCAGTACAGCGCAGTACAGCGCAGTACAGCCCTGTTCATCCCCAGTGCCCCTCTTGGCCCTCCCACTGCAGCCCCAGTGGTCCTCCAGACCCTCCCAGTACACTCCAGTCCCTCCCAATACACCCGACTTTCTGCGCATTCCCTTCCAGTTCCCCCCAGTGTCATCCATCTGACACCCCAGTGTCCCCCAGTTTTCCCCACAGTGTTCCCAGTGACCCCAGTTTTCCCCAGTAACCCCCAGTATCATTCCCAGTATGTCCTGATCTCTTCCAGTATGCCTCAGTCTACCCCTGTCAGAAAAATTAATGCACAAACACCAGAGGTTTATGTCCAAAAAGGAGACAGAGGAATCCTTTGTCTTTATTCGAATAAAGGGAGAGAGGCCATGGGGCATTCCCCTGGGGTCTCTCAAATTTTTGGAGGGCGCAGCCTCCTTTTTATCCTAATTCCCGGCCGCTTGTCCCTTCTCTCTTTCCCCACAGGCTGAGGTACTTGACAGGTACAGACTTCCCGGAACACCTGATACCTGCCATACCTTCCTTCCCACCCCCAATGCATAATCCCTTCTTAATTCTTTACTTTTATGGAATTCATAGTGTTCTTTCAGTGCCTGTTTGATCTTTTAGTGGAACCCATCCCATTGTTTCTGTTGTCTCTCACTGATAGCTGCATCTCAGCAGCTGACCCACAGCTTGTTTGTAAAGACAAACGCGTCATCCCTCTCAATCCCTCCTCTTTTAATTTTTGTTAATAATTGTCTTTACAAACTTTAGTTGTCATTGACTTAATTTCTTGTTCTTCGGTCTTTTTGGCTTTGCAATTATTTGCAGTGGCATCACTCTGCCCTTTTGTAGCTATCTCTGGGTCAGTAGGCACAGCTACCACCTGCATTCCTTTGATTGAAGTGCGGAATAAAAGGAACCCTATAACTCGCAGAGTAGTTATAAGAGCAGGTATGAATTTATTCAGCGCTGAGGTGCATGGGGATATCTCCTCCAAAAAGCATGCACACCTTTTTGATTGGGTTTTCCCTTTTTATCCTTTACAGACCAGGTTTACACGATATGCCTAATACATATTAATTTCCTAACCCCGCCTGTCTTCCCTTCATATTACAATTAGCCCCATACCCCTTTCAGTCCTTTGGTCACCTTATTTTTTTTTTTTTTGGACTTTAAATCCATTTCTTCTGGCTTAGGGTTCAAGGAATCTCTTTTATCCTGTGGTGCCTTTGTCTTTGCATCTTGTTTGTGTATTTCAGCTCCTTATCTCATCTTGCAGTCTGACTCTTTTTCCTGTTCTTGTGGATTAGGGTGTCAGGGTCTGGTTTTTGTCAGACACCCCTTTTAGTTAAGCATTTTTTTTTTTAATTCTTAATTTCTTTGTTTCATGATC